AAAAACCTGTCACCATACAGCCTGGATATTTGTGGAAGTGCTGTCTGTAATTCAAGAACTTAGATTTTATTGGGGAAGAAAAAGAAGTATCAACATTTGAAGTTGCATACTCAATTTCAGTGCTCTACAAACACTGAATATCTCTCGGTTGTTCTTATAAAAGTGCATGGGTTAAAATACCCACAAAAGTGAAATTAAAATTGTGAAAAAAAAGTAAATGTTTTAAGTTACTTCATAGTTTGTATGATTAATTCCATAATACTTTTTTGGCTATGTTTAACTAAATATTGAGAAGAATGGGAAGGAATACTCCCAAATTTCTAAACAAACAAGAATAAATGTAAGTTTCCTTACCTTTATAAGACATTTCTCTTCAGAAGATGACAGCAGCACATTCTCTGGCTTTAGATCTCGGTGTATAATTCCATTGTCATGAAGGTACTAGATATGTACAGATACACAATCAAGGAAAAACAAGGAAAAAACTATTAAGTTTTTTAACTGGACAGGAGGCAAGAATCAAAGTTCAGTCATAAATGACTGCTTTATTAAGATACAATGAAGTCTGAGTTAAAACAAGGAACAACGTTGATTCTAACTAGTCATACAAGATACGTACTAGAGATGTCTTCGCATTTACACTGAAGGGAAGCTTCTCTTCATAATGATACTACGTCTCCAGATATAATAAAGTAGAAGATAATGACACCAACTTTATTATGTGAGCAGCTGCCCAAAAACGAGAATTGGAGAAAATCACAGTAGTTTACTCACTAATGAGGAAAATAATTCTAGGTTTATTATTTACTAAAACCTACTACAGGACAACTATTAAGTTTCTATTTTTGGCAGTTGCAAGACTGAGTTGCAAAACTGAGTCAAAAGAAAAAAAGGAAACAAACTTATCTGAAAGCATATTCAGGCCCAATTAGTTTGATGTAGAAAACAATCTTGCAGAAGTTACTAATGAAATATGCTTACCATTTCATGAATTTAGAAGAGATTTATCTAACGACTCGATATTCAGCATTTGAAAACTATTAAAATAGTCTTAATCTGTTGTCTGCTGAACTGAGATGCTTATTCAGGAGTGCATAGTAAAGCATCCGATCACCGATTGTTCTGAAGGCCGCTACGCTGATGACTGCGTCCACACCTGACTAAAAGTCTCCTGTGACAATCCTGCCATCGGTGAGCACAGCCTGTATTAGTACTTAGTCCCTGTTTTCAGTAAGTAAGAGTGTTTGAGTGTTCTTTGGCTGCACTGAGGGAAAGAATCTTGTTAAACCAACTTGTTAAGAGCGCCGTGCTGATTGCTTGCACAAGTTTCAAAGTGACAAATCACAGTAAATTCATCTGACTGACACTCGTATGCATAATCATGAATGCTACCAGGAACAGCATGGTTAGGTACCTTTACAGCCAGCAGCATCTGATAAAAATACAACTTGCAGGTAGCTTCTTTCATCTTGACTGGCCTTGACACTCTGTCATACAATTCTCCCCCTTCCATCCTAAAACAAATGCAGGTAAAAAGTCAATATACTACTTCTAAAAGATTAGACAAGACTGAGGCCAAAACATTTGGCTATTTTGGGATATAGAGAAGGAATATATTTCTGAAAATGAGTCAGAAACATCCTAAACACAAAACACACACACTGCTGAATTAGGCCTAATCCCCTTCACTGGGAGCCGTTAGAGGATTTCTTTGATTGGCCTCCTCTTATGAGCTCAAAATCAAAAAACTAGCAGCAATGCACAACAGCAGCGTAGTGGGCAACTATCCAGGCACTAAGTGCCTTCCAAGCTTAGAAGGATTACTCTTCTGGTTATCCTAGTTCCTAATTTTACAGAGGTTTCAGAGAACAGTGGAGGCCAGCAAAAGAAAAACAAAACAAAAGAAACAAAATAACCCCCCAAGTTTCGAGCTATACACATTCTTTGTGGCTATGAAAAACATTTTATTTTATGCATTTACTTTCAAACAAGGTACTTACAGTTCCAAAACAATGTAGTAATCCTCCGCTTCAAAGAAGTTTTTGATCTTGATTAAGCAAGGCTAATAAAAAAGGGAACACAAACGGACACAGACAGAAAAGTAGAATAATTCATAAAAACTAGTATTATCAGCAGTTTATCATCCTAAAGTTTCTATTTCAGTACGATTCCAACAATGCCAGTTAAACTAACACTTAATACAACTGTCTAGTGCCCCTGGCTTTGACAAACATTAGTATTCAATCTGTTGTCCTCTCCCCCATACCTCCATCCAAAAACCATTCAACTCGTGCGGTGGCTACAGCTCAACAAGTATCCTTACGTTTTCCAGTTGCGAGTTACCATACCCTCAATATTTTCTTTATGTGCAATAGTACATTGGGAAGCAAGGGAAAGTTCACTAAGCTATGCAAACTTTCTACTTAACAGAAGTAAAAGAAATGTTTTTTGTGGGGCGGGGCGGGGAGGATGCAGGGGAAAGAGGGGATACAAATAAAAAAAAAAAAAAAAGCCAGTGGAATCTAATCTTTGTATTTGGTTATCTGGCAGTATTTACAAAAACACGCATCAAGGAAAGATTTCTACAACAGTGGTTCAGGTTGAAACTTCTCCTGTGAAGTTTCTTCTCAAATTTACATCTCAGTTATTCAAGGTTTTAAAGCCTCGAATCTGTAAAGATATAGTATACCTAAGAAAAAAGAAGCGTTCAGTAGACTTACAAGAACAGTTATGTACATCCTTTAACATATTTTCTAAACAGATAAAATTGATCTTTAGTTACTACACTAAGGTCAGTGAACTACAGAAGTACAGTAGGCAGCCAAAAGGAATAAAAAAGTACAGTAACACTCACATGATCTATTTTCTTCAAAATTTCAATTTCTGTATTGATATTAAAAGCTGGGTTCTATGAAAAGAGTCAAATATCATATTGGGTAAGACTGGAATAAGGCACATCAGAAATAAGAGACAGTAGCAGAAAAGCCATTGTTTCACGTCCCTTGCTACTTTAAGTGACCATAATATCATATATTCCTTTTCCATGAGCTGATCAGGTACCTTTTCTGAATTGAATGAACAGTCTGCTCACACTACCTGTAGCAAGATACTGCTCCAGACATGTCGTGGCACTGCAGGTTAGAAATCGTCACCTAATTTCCAAACTACAAAAAACCCCCAACAAACAAACAAACAAAAAACCCCCCAAAACCACCCAAACAAAAAAAGCCCCCCCCCAACTTGGCAAGTATATATCATTATTATCCTTTAAACAGCTTTTGTCCCTCCAAGATGCTTTCCAAATGGGTTAATGCTAACATTAAATGCTACTCTCTCCTAGCCTTTACTTTGCAATGTTACATAAAGAGATTATTTCAATCTGTGGCTTAGGCTCAACTCATGAAATCAACCCAGCAGGTTTTTTTTTTGCTCTTCTTCCAGTCCGAATCAATCATCTTTGAACACACAGGATCAAACCCCTATACAACACTCCATATGCAGTCCTATCTCTGCTGCGTACAAAGGCATTTCTTAACACTTATAATTCATACAGCATTTCTCAATCTTCATTAGAAATGTTCCAAAATTGCATTTTGCAATTTTCAATCACATTGATGTCACATATTCACCTGCAAACAACTATATCTATCTCCTCCTCTGAACTAGGAAAAGCGTAGATGATGGCAGAAGTTGCTGCTGCTCTCGAAGCATACAGCCTTGCACTATTAAACACTACCCAACTTCTATTTCTCCAGCATACAAAAGCATCAGTTCTTCACATATGACACTGCAATCTTCCTTTCCCTCAGCAGAGACTCTGAGTCAGTGCCAAAGAGCTGCATTAGTACATGCCCACTTTCTGTGCCACTCTCTCTAAATGTCATAGTACTGACTCTCAAGACAAGTTCTCAAAACTTACACTAGCAACTAATTCCACTCCCCCAGAAGCCTCCTGGCATCCCTTCCTCAGCCAGCTACCTTTCCACCTTAGAATTTTTGTCTTCACAAAAACATTTTCCAGATCAAGCAGTAGTTTCCTATACAGTACCTGATGAAATACTCTGTCAGTTTAAACAGATTCTGTAATTGTATCTGTGCTCTGAAGTCCATTACTTTTACCTCTAACTGTATTTTTCTTCAAAGTTTATCCTATACCCTTACACAAAATTAGAGTAACAGATACGGAGTTGCTTGGACCTCTTTCTCCTGTTGAGAACAAGCCAAGTGGCTTTACTCCATTCAAATTCAGGCTTCCGGTACAAGACTAGACACATGAAAAGCCCTTCCCAAAAGGCTTCATAAGATCTTATTAAAAAGTATTATGGTGGAGAATACAAGAAAATTAGCAGAGTTTGTAAATTTTTGGTCAGACTCCGCTGTTTATGACATGTCCCTCTGACACATTTTAGGGTATAAACTCCACAAGACTCCCCGCCACCCTTTGTATATGCCACATTAACAAACAGTCCTAAATGATGAACACAACGAAATGTGGTCAAAGCAAGCACTTTCTACAGAGTTCTATAGATCCTGTGAGATCAACAGGCATTTAAGTATTACATACAGAGGCCAGTAAGTGAGAAAATGCTCTTTAGTTGGAGAGAGCTGGGGAGTCAGAGGGGTTACAAAATATTCCAGGACCACTGCAAGATGACCAAAAGACAGACAAGCAAACAAAAATACTTACAGCCTCTCTAATGGCACTTGCCATAAACTTCCGTTTATTGATTATCTTTACCGCGACTTTGTTACAAGTGCTCTTCTCAAACGCCAGTTTGACTTCTCCGCAGGCACCGCTAACACAAAAGCACAGCCTTGTTAATGGCGACAAATACTTTCCAAAACCCTGCATATCAAGTACAGACAAGTGAAATCAAAGCATCGGATTGCACACAGGTTTTTAGGCTGCTGCTTTCTAACTTGCTGGATATGGCATGTTGTCAAAACCTTCTCAGAGAGCATTCAATTGTTAGTCTATTTAAATAGCAAGCGATGTCAAGGGCCACCCATGCAAAAACGCAGGAGTAAGTACACAGGGCAACTAATCTGCCTGTACAAAGGGTGCCAGTGAACATCACGGACGAGCTCTGGCAGCATTTCCATCACGCAAATGCGTTTAAGGGACAAGACACCTGGCAAAGAGCTCTCTCAACACCAGACTGCACAAATCTGAAGAACAGCTATGACAATACTTTTGTTTTTACTAACTAGCAATTATACTCCAGAAAGAAATCCTTGTATTTTGCACTCGGTTTTGTTTCCATTTAACCATTCCACTCCAAATTCTTCGCTGACCATCTTTTTCCAAAAGACAAAAAAAACCAGCCTCCACTTAAGGTGGCCTCTCTCCTTTTTCCTGACAACAGTTCTTTCCCCTTCTGCCTGAAGGCCTCAACAGTGATGCTGTAGAAAGCTATATTCTGACAGAAGGCTCTTCCTTCTACTTCCAATAACTTAGTGAATTAATATACAAAATTTAAAAACTTGTTAAGAATCTACAAACTTTATTTTCTACCAGAGAAAAAAAAACCAACCCTGGATTTCACCATTAATGGTAGGTTACGTAGCCCAAGCCAGTTACAGTAATAAATCCAAAACTCCTGTTTAAGCTGCTGTAAATAACGGTTTACTCAGGTGTCATTCATTTTTTCTTTTTCTCTTTTTTTTTTTTAAAAAAGCAGCTCACTTAACACTGGTAATAATTCCAGCACAAGGTACTGAAAATGGTAGCAAAATTAACAGTTAATACTGCAGAAAGAAGGGTGCTTACCTTCCCAAAGTCTTTGACATGATATATCTCTCTCTGAATTCTCTAGGAAACACCAACTGATCATCCACCGTCAGATCAGAAAATACAAACACTAGGAAGATGAGTGGAGATCATTTTCCTGTTATTAGCTTTAAGATTTTGTTACAACAAACAGCTATGCTTCCTGAGCTTTTATAGCCAACAATGTAACTAAGGAAATGCTGCATGCTAGAAGAATGACAAGAAGATACAAAAAAGTTAATTGGTGCTGTAAACAACATCAGCTACGGGTTAGCAAGGTGATCCTGTCACTGAGAACTGACATATTCAGTATTAACTTCACATCAGCGCTTAATCAATTACCACTACATTTAAGGACAAAACAGGCAAGAATGTCATTGTCACAGCAGGGACCAAGGAGAAGTGACAATCAGGAAGATGGCGTATTAGTGGAAAAGCAAAGACAAAGAAACAAACCCCCAACCCTGCTAATTTATGAGGGTTTTTAATTACTATGCAGCATCTGAAGTACCTGGGGTTTTTCAGCTTCCCTGGAATAGTCTGCTTGCCCTGTTCCCACCACCACACAGCCACCAAAGCACGAAAGCGTTTCAGGAATAGGAAACAACTATAAAAGTTTATACTCTAGTAAGGTGGTTCCTGATGCAGCTTTCTTTTCTCAGTTTTTTTTCCTAGGGTTGAGGTGGATACAGATAATTTTTATGCCAGTACTAAAACATCAATTCATAGCTGTATTTTCATAGCACTCATGAAGAAGCTCAGCTCGCAGGAAACATGTTCAAATCACTGCAGAAACCACCTCTTGGTCAACACACGAAGAACCTGCTTACGTTATAGCACATTTTACCCTTATTAGTCTGTACAGACAGTGCAATTTCAGAGTTGTGAGTCAGTGGAAGCTTCTTCCCTTTTCCAATGAGCTCTCTATTAACAAAAGTTCCATTTGCACTGTGGTCTTCAATGTAGGCAACATAGGAATTTTTGGGACCCATTTCCTCAAAAAGAAAAAAAAATGGGAAAACTAACAGTAGGGAAAAAAATTACTGTAAAGACATGACAGACTATAGATATTTACTACTGTTGGATCAAGAAATCAGACTACTGAGGTTATTTCATAACCCGGGTTAACGGAGCACTGCCAAGCATCTTGTTAAAGGAGTCAGTACTTAAACTTTGATTTCTTTAGGATCCACCCCCACCAAAGTCAATCTTTTTCAATTACACCAAGTTAAAAAAAAAGACAGTTAAGTTTTTTAGCACCTACCCTGAAAATTCGGAAATGCTTCTTGCTATAGTTTTGGTAGAAGCCAGTCTCGGACAATCGTAGCTTAGAAAAACTATAATCACAGCTTTTGTCTCTTCCAAACCAGTATTCATCATTCACACAGTCTGTAGAGGACGAGGGAGTGAAACAGAGAGAGGACACAGAATTACAGGAAGTTCCCAACTACGGCACTGCAGAGTGATGCCAAATGGTAGTGAGCAGGCTAACAATGACAGGATTCTTCCTACACAATCAAGTTTATTCATCTTAATTCAGACAGAGCACCACACACTAACACCATCTTGTACAGTATTTTAATATTTTTTCCCTCTTTAGTAATAGCAGAGTTTTCAGTTCACCTTCAGCAATAGAGAGACTCGTGATGTATAAACAAAATAAACTCTGAAATGGAAAAATGAACACGAATACCCCAGAATTCCTCTAAGTCTGTGGACGCTGTGTATCTGGGTACTCGGTATAAACCCTGGGATGTAGCACGGAACAGAACATTATTGTAAAAGCTGCAAGCTTGTACTTAAATTTGGTTGTACTTAATTTGCAAATGAAAAGACACAGCACTCTACCAAACTGTTCAAAACTTTTCTGGGGCACTGGAACTGAACCAAGAGGCTTATTACAGTATGCACATACCACAATTGCTGAAACCTTTTCCAAGTGCAAAGAGTCGACCCCAAGGCTGAGGAACAAGCTCTTCAGATTCCTGGTCCTCAGGGATTGACGGAAGCTCCTGAGTGGGAACAGTGTCCAAAGAACTGAGGGTTCCAGAACTTGAGGAAGACTGACTAGTACTCTGTGACCCACTGGAAGAGGAACCGGTACCACCCTGTGACGGCTGGGCACTTTGAGACGGCTGCGCTTCGCTTCCAGTCTCTCGAGACATTATGGCTTTAGAGAGAATGTTTAGAAAGAACAGTTACTACAGCGAACTAAAACTGACAAACATTCACACGTTTTGGACATGAATGCCCGAGCCCATTCTCAGTCTTCAAAGCTTTCAGCCAGAGTGTACATGTGTGGGCTGTATGTAAATCCCCACGAATTTTGCATAACATGATGTTTTTCCTTTTAAAAAAAACAAATAACGCGGTGCTCCCTCTGCTGGTCCTAAACCAACAGTTAAATCTTATTCCCAGACTTTTACTTGTGTGCCTCAGGGCTCACACTTCAAACGAACCACCGCACGAGCGGCACACTCTGATAAAGCGTCCCCACACAAAGCAGTCACCACTGCAGCTCCCCAAACGCGAAGAGGAAAAGTTAGAACAAACAAATGAAGTACGTTTTCTCAATGCTGAGCGCGCCCAGCAGATCTACCACACAGTAAGCCGGTTCGGTGTTTTGGCTGAATAATCTTTTCATATAGGTTACGACTCACGAATTTTCACATCTCTCTTCCACGCGGGTTCTGTTCAGCGATTTTATTTACAGAGCAGCCACACCCATACACGATTAACTTGCAACCCCTGCCAGACTCGCCGCACAGCCACACCGCCCCAGCAAACAGCTCGGGCCGGCCTTAAGGCAGGGGAATCCCAGCGGCACCGCGCCGCCCTCCCGCCCGGGGCAGGGCAGCCCAGCGGCCAGCGCCTCAGC